TTTGGCAAAAATAAAACCATGGAGTGGTGCTCAAAACTATATGAACAAGTAAATCATTAATTTGTAGCTTTTTCGCTTGTCACCTACCGCAAAAAGTGTGGAGTATAACAATCGTTCTTGTAATAATACATTAAAACTTGATTAATTTTTTTAATTAATTTAAAACTCAATTTGAAGAAACAAGTTTAATTATACGGAAATAAATATTTGCAATATAAAAATATATAAATAAATTTAAAAAATATTATTGGCAGATTTTGGAACAAGTTTTACTACGAATGCATTTCCAATATTTTTTGTATAAACTGGTTTAAACATCTAAAAATTGCAATTAAACAAAAACTGAACATGGCTGAGACAAATAAAAACTGAAGTAAATGACATTTTGTGGCCGTGCTCTACTTGATCCCAAAAAGTTAAACTAATTCAACTTTCGGTAGCGCATGAAGCCAACCAATTGAATGCATCGCCGCTCCATTTCCACCCCCTCCCCCAAATTCAGCCCCTCCCCGCTTCTTGGGGCCATCAAACACATAACAATGCCGCAGAACAAAATCGCTCCACTTTAACGTGCCCATTGCCATGGCGAGAGGGTGTATGTTGGAAAAGTGTGTTTGTAGAGGACAACAAACCAAACCGAACTGAAATAAAGGGAGGGAAAACCGAGTTGAATAGCACGGAATGAATAAAGGAATGTAGGATTCAGCAAAAGCTACAGAAAGTACAAGAATAATAAGAAAGAACGAAGTTGGAAGAAGCAGCGAACTTGGGACTGAGCCCGGAAAAAACCGCTGAAATCATGAAATATTTCGTACATTAGCAATTGTTATACGGAGTTCAGTTCGCCTCTTCCACTTCGACTTCGACTTCCCTCCAACAAACTTCCCCCAGCAGCATGCCAATAATAGTTGCATTTGACTTTGTTACTATCCAAAGTCGGAGTTTGGGGCATGAAAAACGAAGATGAAGCGGAGAAGTCAGCGTCTTATGTATTCCATTATGACTGTGTGCCACAGTCGGCCACAGTTTTCCTTTGACTTCCCTCTTTCTGGCATTTTGCTTTCGACTTTCTGGTTCAATTACTCAAAGTTTTTGTGCGCTAACCAAATGAGTAAACAAAAAGAACTCAGTTATGCATTTCAATTTCAGCTACAATGCTTCCAAATTAATTTATCATTTATAAGCAGTTTTTGTTGGATTTCTGTGGCCCTCGGAGGACTGAACCAGTCATACAAAGACATATCCTAGTATGTAAAGAATATGATGTTAAGATAACACAGCTTTTTAAAATATATAAAATGATCTAAGGAATCATAGGAATTATAGAATTATTATAAAATTATTTTAAAGTGAATGATTCTTCCAATAAGAAACAAAACGTATTTGCCAACTAGCTAACTGAATTTAAGGGATAACCTTCAAATTAAAGACGTTCAAATTTCCTTCCTTTTCTAAGGTTAAGAAAAGTATGTATGTAATTAGTTTAAAATGTACAAGATACTAAACGCTCTTAATATGGACGATTAATACAAGTTTCTCTTCCTGCGCCTTCAAGACTTTATGAACTCAAAACTTTGCGAGAAGTTTTAGCTCTTATTACCCAAACCATAAACGCTTGCAAAACGGTCACACAAATTTGTGATTATAAACTTTTCAACAGCTATTCACGCGTGCCCACTTAAATATGCAACAACTTCCGCATAATTTCATATACACCGCTGAACGTTATTACCTCCTCCCCCAACCGCCCCTTTTCGCCCACATCCTGCTGCAGGTGGGGCTAATCACGTGACATTCCAACACGAACTCTCCGACGCTGAGCCCTTGGCCAAACAATTATTACGGCCCAGCAGGTTCACATACACACACGCGCAGTGGACCTCACACGCATATGCACAGGAAAATGAAACACTAAAGAAAAGATTAACTCATTTTTTGTAACTTTTTCAAGGAGATCAGTTATAATACCACAAAAATTCAAATTCAAAAAATTCATTTTTATGTGAGTTTAATCGTGTTTTAAATTAAGGCAGTTTTTAAATGTTTGCTTAATAATAAATATGTTGTATAACAACATTATTTCTGTATATAAATAAAGAACCACGTAATTCTACAACCCGTTAGCACGTTTGAGGTGCATCAGGTAATAACATCTTTAATTTTATTCTTTCAGTGTACGGACTACCACCTACACGCGCACATTTGCGCCTGCGAAAACAGACAGGACATTTGGTGGCCCAAGTGGCTGACAGGATTTGCGAGTTGTGCAGGCGGTCCTGCGATGATTAATACCAAGCAATCCCCCCTCCCATCTGCATGGATTATGGTGCCGTAATGCTTCATGCGTAAAAAGATCACGAGAAGCCGCAATGCGGATTCGAGATTTCGAGCCTTTAATAGTGTTGTATAACTTCGGAATTTTCAGATATCAATCGTAGGTGTAGTTCCTATTCCCCTAATGTATATTTACTAAAAACAATATGACACTTTGTAGAAAAATATAAATAAAAGACTTCTGATTAACGACAAAAATTTTAATAAAGATGAAAAAGTTACCTTATATGTGTATGTATATGTATGTATAACTACATGCACATTTGCTCCAAGAATAAGACGACATTTAGTAAAGCCTAGGAAGACGGTTTTCTAATTTTATTCCGCCAATTTAACAGTTTTACAACAAACATCACTCCTCAGATATTTAAATATTTATCATCGGCTCACATCGTTTTACAAGGTTCGATTTTTTCATTCGCAGAAAGTACATCAGTCATAAATTATGGACATGTGTAATGAACAAATAAGACCAAAAGCAATTGGCTCCAGATCGAACTCACACTCACCCAGACCGACATTTTAAAACAATTAAACCGAGCTTTTGTATGCAGAGAGAGCAAATAAAGAGGACTGTTCTCATTAAAAACCGTCGAACACATAAAACCCAAACGTAAATGTTTCCCAAAACGAGTTTTCGGTGAAATATCCCCCACAACGAGTGTAATTGAAATACGCGTATAGAAGAATCGTTTACATATTTAACGAACTGACCAATGGCAAAACAAATATCGCAGATAAAATCGGCAAATCAATGGGCAGAAATCAAACATAATCCTGAAATGAGCTTTTCTATTAAAAGCAATTAATCTGTGCGAGTGTGGAATTGCGTTCAAAATTATTTGGTTCGATTGCGTTCAAATGGACTTTGGTGGAAGGACTGTGTATATTGGGCGCTATTATTCAGAACAAGAAGGAATACTAGCTTCGGCGAACCGAAATTTATATATCTTTGCCTATTAAGGTTTTTCTGTACAGTAAGGTTATATAGATTCTTCGGTCTCCTAAGGCTATGAGATATAGTCCACTAATTTTATATTCCATTAATTATGCCTTTGTTATAGGCATTTATAATTTTTCTATTGATATAGTCCACCATGAAATAAAATTTGGTTCGTAATTTAATAATTGTTTAAAGACTATATATTTCCTATCGAGACAGTTTTGAAACTGAGAAAAAATTTTTGTAAAATCAAACAGACGTTCATGTCTAAATCGACTTAGACGGTGATGCTGATCAAGAATATACAAAAGGGGCCGTTTGTCCTTTACTGCATTGCGAATGCTGACTGCAACTATAATACCCCTACAAGGATATAACCATGACTTTTTTTTCTAATGATGTCATTTTAATAAATTGTTTTAGGGGATTATTACATGCACAATTTTTAACAAAAGCGGCTTGTTTGAATGCCAAAATATGTCGTTTATTTCTAAATCGAAAAGTGAGAGTACTTACTAAAATAATGATTATTTTCTTATACAGGTCTATCTGTTATATTGTATGATCAAAGATAATAAATCTTTAAAAGGCTTGAATGTGTTTTCTACTCAGTTTTCGATATTGTTCAAATGGAATAGTGAAATAAAATTTTCTACTTTTCGTCCCATCAATATTTTCCCGTTATGCAATTTGAATAAATCATATAAATATTTGATTATTATTATAATATTTTGTTCGGTTGTGGTTAAATTAATGCTGGTAAGACAGTTCTTTCCTGCAAGGTTGTCCAATGAATACTACCATTAACATCGCATTTTGGCCTGCCTAAGCAATGTTTACAAATCGCAACCCACTTAAACACTCTGAGCCGCAAGTTACAGCCCGCATGGCAACAAATTCAAATACATTCAACAGACCCCTGGGAACGCAAAAAGACAAGTATATACGAGTATAAGACATCCATTTACATAAGAGACGCAGGGGATGAAATGGGGTCGGCGAAAATTGAACAAAAGTTGAACATGAAATATTTATAAATATTACGTATACGTAATCGAATTGATTGATTTTGCAATTTCACGAAAGCCGAAACAAATAACCAAGGGCAGAAGGAATGGAACAAACAGGCAAAGGTCGTTGGTGTGCGAAAGGAGCAAGGATCGGAGGAAAGGACGTGGACGGTTAAACCTTGGACTTTCGGGGCGGTTAAAGTATGTGTGTCTTAAGTGATTTCCCACCGTTTGTGAGTGTGGCGAACTAGTCAGATAAGACACATTATGGTAATGTGCACACAACAACAAGTTGCAGACACGCCTCCATCAACATTAAGACATCCCGGCAATCCGCACACACACTGGGCCAACAATATCCTTTTCGGCCAGAAAGCCAATGACTCCGCTCTTGACCATCGACTTGAATTACAAATGGGTTGTTTTCATCGAAAAGTATCGGCAATCACACAGCGGCACGTGTTGCTGTCGAGGGTAAGAGGTCGAGAAAAGGGTTTAATGCTCAACGCTTCAAAAAAATGATTGGTAATTTGATTCTTTATTAGATTTTTCCAAGAGGCTCTGTGGTGTCTGCTTTAAAATTTATTGAAAGTTACCCGTTTTACGATGCGAAACGAGGGGTTAATTGTTCGCAAATACTACCTTAAGATTTTGTTTGACCCCCTATACTTAACACTTAATGAATGTGTACTTTTAACAAAATATGTTCTTACCACAAACAAAGCTGCCCAAATTTGCTGAGACTTCCAGTGAATGTTCGCCGACATTTTTATCTGCATTTTCTCGTAATCATGATTTCATGCTGGAAATAAATTAGACGGGGAAAATAATTAGTAAGCTTAAAATAGATAGGTACTGAATTTAAATAAGTTTTTCTTTTTCGAAGTATATTTAAAGTTTCACTAAGTCTGCTCAGACCTTTCCCCTTTACAAAGAGACTTGGGAGTTGCGAAAACTCTTTCACATAATTAAGCCAAAATATTGTAGAATATTGTACGAAGCAACAACGGCACACAATTAATGAAGCAAAATGCCAGCTGATGGCAGCCAGAAATGTCAAGGAAGAACGCCAAAGATATACGACCGGAGGTTCAGAGGACCACGATAAAGTGGAAAGGAGTCGGAGCTACAGGAAGGCGAAGAAGCTGGGAAGATAGCTCAGCCTCCTTGGAACCCAAAGGAACATAATAAATTCGTTTGTGGCATTGAAACATTAGTCATTCAAATTATGTACAAACGACATTACTCATTTCGAAGTTGGCAGCGAGCAGGAAGCCATCCCTGCACACAAATTTTATTTGCCTAGGTCTAAAAATATTACTGTGCTTTCTTGGTCAAAACTTAATTAAGATTTATAGCCGCTAATTATTCCTACTCACAGCGTAAGGCATACTTAGCTATACATAATGCGCAGTTCGAATAAAAATAAGACTATACATAAAATATTTGTTATCGTGCAAATATAAATAAGTTCTCTCCCTAAAAAGCGGGCAACTATTATATCTCCCGTGAAGTAAAATATTCCCCACTCGCCATTAATTGCTCCAAACTTAGCCCCATCGCATTTAGACTGGTTCCTAAAAGTGCTCGAATTTGAAATCAATTTAAATACACGCTGGGGAGCTCTAAAACTTTGCCCTTAATCGAATCGAAAAAATACTTGGAGCGAGTGGAGCCCCAGTGCCCCAGTGATCTTACATGCAGATGGGAAACATTGTGGGAATTTGTGGTAATTATAGATGAGAATTGTGCCTTCCTCCCTCGATTCCCTCGTTAGACCCGCCTTCGAATTAATTCGTTGTGACAGTTGTCAGCAGTTTTGACCCCTCGGAATTTTAGCGGAAAAATCAGAATTATTCCGTCAAATCAAGGTCATAAATTAAAATCATTTCCAGCAGGGAATTCGCACTGCCCTTTCTCCCTCTCCGATTTTTTCCCTCGGGTTGTCACGTGGGCGTTGTTGCGCAAAAACTCACGCAGGTGATTTTATGTGGTTTTTATGTGCGGTCTCTGGCTTTCGGTTTTGGCTTGGCCCTTTGTTTCATTTTTAGTGGGGACAGGGACACATTTTTAGGGTTGGAGTGTAATGTAATTAGATTTCAGTGGGAGGGAGTGGGTGTGAGTTGAAGGTAATTTCAGATTTATTCGCCTGAAATATGTATGACCAGATTGCTGTGGACCAGGCAGCTTCGACTTGAATAAATCATGTAAATGTTAATTTAAGGCATTCCTTCATGGTAAAGCTTACTCACATATAAAAGTTTGTCCTTTGTAGTATTATAAATAATATTAAATTCATCTTCACAGGATGCATTCTTAAAATAAGTTATCCCTTTCCTAATCACTTCCAATTAAATCTGTTTTAAAATGTTTAAAATGTTGGCTTTTGTAAGCAACGGAAAGAAGCAATTGGTGAACAGTTCTTGTACCATTTCCTGTTTATTCAAATGCAGCATATGTGTATATGTTCAATTGACTCAAAAATAAAAACGCGTTTGTGCACAATCAAAATAAGGGAGACATCGCGCCAGACAAAAGGCAAGAAAGAGAAAAAAAAATAATTGACTATGCCCTTTTTTCGCCATCTAGTTCCCGTTTCTCCCGTTAACCCCTTGACCCTTTGACCCCTTACCCCTTTCACATTCTGTGACGTTGTCATTGTCAATAGTCGCTGCGTTCATTGTTGTGCTTTGCTGGAAATGTTGCGCATTGAACTTTTAATTAGCAGACAGAAGCGATGCAAAAGTCGGGCAACGAGCGACAAGGGAGATAGATTTTCGCATACAAAGCGGCAGGTGTTTACATGGCAAAGGGGAATCGCCTCGTCCGACCAAAAGAACAAAGTGAAATTCATTCCTATGCACCGCTTGCTCGCCTTTGTGGGAAAGCTAGAGCGGAAAAGCCGTGATAAAGGGTTTTCACATTTACCTTTCACTGCTTTTGTCATTTGGGTCTGCTGACGTTGGCTCTTAAATTACAAACAATCGAGCTTTTTTCTGCCTCAAAGGTTTATTGAAAATATGTGCATTTGTTGATAGTCTGCATGAAAAAGCAATACAAATATAAACAATCAGGGGAGGCGGCAAAAGGAAGCCACTCCCATTTGCCGCCTCTTAAGTCAGTTGACATTCAAAATTCAGTTCGGCAGCCCCACAATTTAAAACCCCTCTTTCGAATAAATCCACACATGTCTGTTCCATCGGATAAAAGGGAAGCCGCGCCGGCCGTTGATGAGAATCCCGATGGCCTGACTATCGACTGCAGTCCGATCGAGCCGAGACGGCCCTTCGAGTACAGAAAGAACAGAATCCTTCCGGTCACAATGCACTGATGGCAGCACTGGCATTGGCAGGAAGAGGCCAAGAGCGGCTAAGTCGGAAAACCCGCTTCTAGCCCTTTTCGCATTCGGCTCTGAGCAAGACGACCTGTTCCGCACTCGAAATCCAAGCGTAAGCATCGGTACTTTAGATTTTCCCTATGGGAAGCACTTCTAAGAATATAACTTTCAATCATAATTACTGCGGTATTTAAGTGTTTTTTACCCACTATTCAGTAGGTTGTATTAGGTTACTAATTAACATAAACAACTTTGTCAGGCGTTCTATTTTGTATTAACAAAAATCTTAGTGATTTAGATACCACAGCACAATCCTTTTTTGTAGAAGCGATAAGAATGTGCATATTTTGGAGTATATATAAGTAATAAAAGGGAATTGTTCTCAATTCTCTTTGCAACTTGTATTAGCAAAACAAATAAGAGATGAAATGATCTAGATTATAAACGCATGGCTCATATTGCAATAACCCCCACAGTCGGACAACAACTTGAATCTGGCTGTGGCAAGTTGTCTGCGCTCCGCCCTGAATAACGTGTCCCTAAGGCAATCCTGCGACCCAACTGCGATGGCTCGATCTCCACAACAACAGCTTTTGCAGAAGCAACTTCAGAGGCAGCCTGCGATGTCCTTGCCCCAGGCGCACCCTTTGATGACCCAGCAGCAGCAAATGCAACACCAGATGCGGCTGCAAGTGCAACAGCAACAGCAGCAACGTCAGAAGCAGCAGCTGCAGCGGCATCTGCAACAGCAATATTGTTTCGGCCAGTTTTCACCCCAGATGGGAGTGGTGTACGACCCTCGACCTTGGCCCCCAGCTCTGGGTCAAGACCAGCGGCCATCGGACCCATATGGCAGCTACCAATTTTGGTACAGGCCACAGACAGTCAACGGCCCTCAAGTTGTGCCCGTCAATCGCGGCCTTCCTGGGATGATGCACCAGCCCTTCCAGCAACAGCCGAATGGAGCTTCAAACCAGGTATTTCTAAGTGTTAATAAAAACGCACAATACAAGTATGATAAACAATTTAAGTTACATTTCAACAACTATCCATTGCTATCCATTGAAGCAAACCATCAGATGCATTCTACATTTTTTGTTTAAAAACGCTTTTATAAATTCAATAAGGCAAACTCCATTTTGTATGATTTATTTTTTGGACAATACTTTCCATAGATATTTTAACAACTATTTTCATTTCAGCCCAGACCTGCTGCTAAACCTCTGGTCAGAAGTGCAACAAAGAGTCGGAGTCCCACCTTCAAAGACCAGGCTCCAACTCAACTTGCAAGAACCTTGGCCGGTGGCCGATCAAACTTCCGCTCGGAGCCCGGCTGCTTGAATCGAATCGACAGCCTCACCGAAAGTGGATCCAGGAGTCGGGACTCTGAGGAGGAAATGATCGCATTTCAGCGAATCGCTGCCAGAACTCTGCCCCCGGAAATCGAATCGAACAAAAAGCAGATGCAACTGCAAACAGAAAATAAGCTCCAGGAACCGATAACCAAGGAGGTAGAACTCGACGCAAGTTTGACGAGTGAAACCAGCAGTTTCTTCCAAAGACTTGCCGGATTTCTGCGCTCTCGCTCCTCAAAAAAGTCAAAAGACAAGTCATCGAAATATAAAAACCACGATGCCAGCGCTAAACCGTCAAAATTTTCCACAACGAAAAAACGAGGATTTTTTAAAAGATTTTTCGCGGAGGTGCGCGATCGTGATGTAGGTATCTGCGACCTGCGGTAGCCTAAATCCGTATGCAGCGTTCACTACCCCACAGGTTTGCCAATAAACAATGGAGACCAGGAGGAACTTCGCGAAGCGGAGGACTTCAAGGAACTGCGGAGAAGGCAGCAGAGGAACAAACTCGAGGATACGCACAGCAAACCAGCCACAAAGAAGATATAAACTACAATATGTGAACCAAAATTACAAAATTTTAAGTTCATTAAAGTTAAATATGGAATAAATTGTAGAATACAAGCCGCCATGAAACTGGTTTTAAGTCTTATATTCATTTTAAATTGAAAAAAAAGTAGAACCATTTTTGAAGTGATCCTTTTACAAAATATAGTTCTATATATTTGTTTTAGTTCATTTAAACCTTAAAACAAGAAGACAAAGAGCGTTGATAATTTGGTATGTTAGGTTTTTCTATTATTTTTGTATATTATATGATATTACTAACCGTGGGAAAATCCCTTGTTAATTTGTATAAATCTAATAAAAAAGGTAAAATGTTTATTCCAGAGTTAAGCCCCTCCTTTTCCAGATCCTTTTCCCACCAGTAAGTCGCTTCCACGCTAAATCCATTTGCATTCAGCAGAATCTTCTCAGTGCGGTGTCAAGTCACGTTGTTTCACAGCTCATCAGATCCGTCATAGAGAAATCCATTTTTCAAACTGGGAACCCATTGGGGCCACCCAGACAGACCAACTCGTTTGCACAGAGCGGTTTCATTTGATGACGCAAACCGTCGAAATCGATGCCGAGTCGATGACGGCGGCGGCTCATTAAACGACCATCAGGGCTTATTAATTTTGACATTTCAATGGCCATATATCATTATCAGTCAACAGGCCGTCAACGAGCCATCAATTCGTCAGTCAGTCAGTTACAGCATCAACACGAACCAAAATCGGACAAATTCCGACGATAAAAACGAGAATAGCAAATTGCGCAGTTTACAGGCTAATCAGCTCGTTACTGCATCGGTTACATGGTGCACACCCCCATCAGCACCCTCCGCCTAAATGATTTTCCACGGCGGTGTTCCAAAAACCATGGTGCTAAGCACTTTTGAATGCCGCTTTGGCAGGCTTAAAAATGGGTTAGACGAGGGTTGAACCGAAAGTTTATACCAAACTTAAATGGACTGAATGCAAATAATTGCTCATCTGCTTAATAGATTTCTATTTATAAACATAATATAAAGTACTTCAATTAATGTTTAATGCGCTGAAATAAAGTGATTTCTCTGATCAATCGATTTATTTTATGTTTCCAAACAATGAGAATATCTATTGCACCACCAAATGAATTGGCAGTCATAAAAAGAGTTGAGAAAGCACCAATCTCCCCTCGGACACGTAACTCCTCCAGTTCCACGGATACCTCTTTGCTCAATATCTGTTTTCTGTGTTCCGTAGTTGGCCAATTGCAAAGGGCGTGTCAGTGGTGTTTGCCTGTCATTAGTAACGGCCCAGAGCAGAAGGTGCGACGACAACCGCGCTCCAAAGTGCAACGCTTGATTGGAGCCCACGCACAGGTAGACGCATCTACTTATCACACAAAGGCCAAAACCGAATCGAATATACCGACGAAATAACGAAATAAGCGCAGAGCTTGATGCCTGAGAAGCGAATGGAAACGCGGGGAGTGGGGGCAGGGAAAACTTGTCGAATCGAATTTGTAGTCATCTACATAGAAAATAGTGGAAAATGGTACCGTCTCCGATCACAATTCCGCTTCCTTCCCATCGCTCACCTTCTCGAACCGACGATGTTGCGTTGACAGGCGAGCAAGCAATAAGTTTCAAATAGTGCCGACAGTTCCGTCGAAGTCCTCGCTCATGTCAAGCGGCTCAAGAGGACAGAGGACAGAGGAGAAGTGGGTGAGCCGGAGGAAGTGGCAGTGGGATTGGACAGGACGATGGAGACTCGAAACGGGCGAGGAGTAATCAAAGCGCTGCCAGTTTTCGCCTCGCCGCCAACCTCGTCCTCTCCGCCTCCATGAACATCAACTTTATTCGATTTCAATGCATTTCATTCCGTACACCAAGAAAAGCTAGATGGGGATAGGCTTAGTGGTGAAAAGCGTAAAATCAAATTGAAAAATTCTTTTCTTCCCTAGCCATGTGAAGTGAAAGGTCGAAATCAACTCCAAATCGGAGTACCATTCAGGGAAATCGAACCCTTATGCAATGAAACGAATATCGTAACCAAATGTTTTCAAGATTTTGAGGCCCAGAAAATAAACTTAAACTGTACAAGAGATATTGTAAGCAAAGGAGAATTACCTGGTTGATAAGGTAGTAAATGGGTTCAACATATTAAAATTATGGAACGAATTCCGTTTTCATGACAGTAAAAACAGTTTGTTTAAAAAAAGTGAGCACTCGTAGACAAGAACCGATTAAGATTCTGAAGTATGTTTAAGAGATTAGTATTGAATAAAAGACCAGACCGTTTATAAGAAAACGCTAAAAGGTTTTAGGATTTGAGGATTCCATTAAAATGTCCGAATAAATGAATGAAACCGAAATCAAATAAAATTAACATAGCGATCAAAACATTCAATCAGCCACACGTTCCGCACATCAGCAAAAGCAGCTCGAAATCAATGGACACTTAAAGTTGTTCTAGCCGCAGACACTGCACAGCCACTTTGAGGAAAAGCAGGGAGTTTTCCAGCCAATAAATTATTTACCATGTATAAATCAAGAAAGGAGCGAACACGAGCGGCGCACACGAAACTTGAAAACATGTTAAGGCCATTCAAGGATTTATTTCCAGAGTTCTTTCGCGAGTTCGAAGGAGAGTAAAATGGGGCAAGAACGGAGCGGAGTTTCTGTTCTGATTCGCTGAAGATGTTGCCACTTTTTGTTTTAATTTCCCCGAATATGTGTCAGGGATTGGATCGGGGATCGGGGGTAACCGTAGCCAGGTGCCAAGGTAGACATGCAGCAGAAATCCCAGCAACTTGGCTACCCAAACAACTTGCGCAACTTCACCGTCGACGATTTCTGCCGGAGTTGCAAGGCACTCGAGAAAGGTTCGCATGTCTGGCGGTCTAGAGTCTGCAGATTTCAAGTGCTTAACTTGGCGGAGGAGCACGGAGCTGGTTGCAGTTTAATAATTTAGTGTCGGGAGTGGAAGGTTCGGATTGCCAGCAGTTGCATTAACAGCAGCCCTTCCTTTCCTTTTGTTGTACTCCCGCTGAAACTGAGACTGCTGGCCTGAACTCAATAATTTGTATCTTAAACAGCATCTGATGCTGTGCCGTAGCTCATTTAAAGCTCTATATATAAAGTCGCCAAATGCGGCTTCCAAATTGGGGAGATTGCGGAAACACTTTATTAGACGATAATTGGATTGGGGCTGGGCGTAGAGGCTTACGGGTTTGTGGGGTTTATGGGGTTTATGGGGTGCGTTAAGCCGAGCGCAGAAAAACGGATTTGGTTGTGGAAAAAATGCTTCGAAAAGTTGTTCCTGAAGCTGTGAGCTGAAATTCAAACGGCCTGGGCTAGAAGTATAAGTTGTTTCAAAGGGCTTTTATTTCCTTTAATCTAGTTATTTATCCGAAATAGAAACATGTCTAAAGTTTGGTATTCTGATTTTGAGGTTATTGATATTGGCAGCTTATAAAAAATCTCAGCTCCCTAGAGACTTCTGGTGAATTTTAATTTTCTTACATTTTTCCTCTGCTTCACGCCTGAAAACTCGCTTAAATTCTGTTACTTATTTATTTTTGTCCTACAGCAAATGCTTAACTGAAGATTGCCCTGCTTGCAAGACGAGATTATTTTGAAAGGCTCAAACATGACTTCTCAGACCGACCCGAGCTTTGAACTTAATTATTTTTCTTGCCACCGCACCAAAAGTAAACTCCTGCAAGCCTGAAAAGCAGATGCCAGCTGAAAGCCTGGCGAATTTAAGATGGCCAGCCCTCAGAACAAGTTGCGACAGGTGTTAGAAAAAGGAGGTTCGGACAATGAAAAGACAGTTGCGAGGAAAGTGGCAAAAGGATCAGCTATGTGTGCAGAACGGGCAGGACGAGAAGGACGAGCAGGAGGTGAAGGAGGCAGACAAACACTGGCTCACCACCCGCTTCCCCACATTGTCTGAGTTCCCTTGGCACCTTGGAACTCCTCTCGACTCCACCGCACAACCTCTCCAGTCTGTCTGGCCGACGCTTTCAACTGTCGTTGACTTTCCACACACTTCTGCCGCTTTATTTGCTTTATTCCGTTTCATACTCGCTTTTCTCAACACCATTCAGCAGAAACCATTTTTGAATGCTTTATAATTTACTTAAAAAGTACGTCGACATCTCCGGCGTAATTCCCATTGTGCGAGTCCGTCTGGAACGCTTTTAGGCATTTGGAGCTCATGAAAGAACTCTCGGCATTCGCTATGCGGTGAGTGTGTGTGTGAGTGTGTGTGTGTGCCTCAGATTAGCAGGCTTATTAAGGTCTCGAGTGTGTGTGCACTTTACGACGATTTAGATTGGGACCTGAGCATCTGTTATATTTATGACAACTCTATTGGGGCCAAGCTGATTGCCTTCTATTCAGAGCAAATGTTGTTCCGCTGAAAGCCTTTGCATGGAAGTTGATGCACTTTCCGGTTGTGAAACCATAAAATATTTTACGTAGTTTACTACTAGGGCTCAGGTTCGGTATCAGCCACACTTCCAAATGGATTTCTAATAAAAGTGCTGAGAAAGACACTTTGGGTGTTTCAAAGCCCTAAAACTAGATTCACGGATGATGGAATGAGTGATCCGGAGCCATAATCGCTAATGGGTTACAGCTATTGAAGAACTATTTCCCTTTCCCCTTTTGAACTGGAAATCTCCTTCAAAATGATATTATTTTCATATACTTATCGGTTTTTTAAACAGAACCCGTTATCGAAAACTTATTTAACGCGTTGGCAGTAGGGTAATGCAGAATAGGGAAAATTCAGGGGCTTTGGAGCTAAACGTGTAAAGTTGAGGGACTTACGGCAAGCAGAAGTTGAAAGATTTGACACGCTCATCCAATAAAAAATCCAGGAGCGGTGTGGAAGAGGGGAGCTGTCTGCTAATCCACTTTAACAATTCTCCTGCTGTTTCCACACAAATCGCACACACAAAGCACCTAAACGCAGTCAGGTAAGACTGGCTGCTCCTGATGTTTTTTCTCACTGATTGTTACACACTAAAATCGAATTAAACTTGCCGTTGCACTCGCTCTTTTTTGTTTGCCGCACTTGCCACACGTTGCACAATAACTTTCCCTGTAACTTTTACTTTGTTTGCAGCCCAGTACCGGCAAAAATACCAAAACCTGCGAAAAGTACAAAATTCTCAACTTTTCATGCTGGTCAAGAAGCTGAGCGCGAAAAGGATTTTTTAATAAGAAACGCGAGACGCGAAAAAGTTATCCTTTGCCGGAATTGTGGGCTTCTGGACCCACTTTCTCTGTGTTGTATTTATTGTGTTTATTTGTTGTATTGTCCCTGGCTGGGATTTGTGTATCAAAGGAAAGTCGTTAAAAGTTTCGGCTTTGTTTTTAATAGCACTTCCTGTTTAGCCGCCAATTATTGCGTCTTCCGTCCTTTTGTATTGAATAAAAAATGGCTTAATTATTTTTATCAGCTAAAACAATTATACATTAGCATTAACATTTTAGAAATGGCTTAAATGGTTTTCTTCGCTGTTGATACTATTTAAAAGTTTATTAAAACATCAAGAAATCTGTGGTATTTGCTATTATTATAATTTTTTTTTTATTTGTAAATAATGTGAACATAAAGTTAAAAAATTTGCAAGTTTTTAAAGGCTTTCTAGTATTTAACCTTGCAAACAAAATAATTTTTATGTTTCATTAAACCAGCAGACTTTTTTAAATCCCTATTTATTCCGAATGTATAACTTAAGATTTAGAAAAAAAAAACAAAGTTTGTTTGTCGTAAATAACAGACAACTGAACATATTTCTTTTCATTTGGAGAGCCGAAACTTTTAAAATATTTTTTAGTTAGTTTAGTTTAATTCATCCTTGTTGCATTCGCACAACACCAAAAGCCAAGCGGAGACCACAATCACACAGACACACACCGCAGGAGCACTCGGCCACTGGTATTGGTGCTTTGTGAAAAGCCCAGTACATTTGAATTTTCCTCTACCGTAAGCACAACCCGACGCTGAGAAAATCACTTGAAAACTGTTCGGCCGCGTTCGCATCGTTCGCCGGCCGCCGGCGCCTGCATCATGCAACCCACGGCAACAATGTTGCATCAACATGCGGCAGGGGAACTGGCTTGAGTGGAAATGGGGCTGGCTTCAAGGGGAAGCTCAATGGTCGGATGTCAAACAAGTTTGAGGGAGTTCGTGGCGGGGAGCTAGCCAATCCGAACAACTTTCCCCTCCGGAGTGGCAAGTGTTGCCCAACATAATGTTGCAATTGTCTTGGATGCTTTTGTCAGCTCAACATGTGGCATAAGACTTCCTGGCTTTTTAAACTTATTTAGTGACCACCTTTTGTAAAGCCAAAAGAGAAACAATTTGTTAGAACCTGAATTCTGCCCAACATTATTGGAAACAAATTTGGGTTAAATAAGTTGAAAATTTTTTGTAATGGAAAATCAAAAGGAAGTTACAGCGTTTTTTTGAGCAACGTTTCTGATGAATGTTTACGAACTTGTATAAAATGAAGTTTAAGAGCTTTGCACCGACAACTTTTGCGGCAAAACATTTTATATCTTGTCAACATATTGCCTGTAAACATTTTAGAGACTCAACTGATGACTGGAACTTAGGAACTTGTGCGGACAACAAAATTTAAGCTCAACATAAGGCGGAAACATTTGCGGAAAACACTTACAACACTTGCCTGTAAAGCAGAAGCTAAGTTAAACTTAAAACATGTCGAACATGATGCATCTTAATTCCGTATATGTATTTATAATATTCTGCTTTTGTTGACCAAAGTGAAAAATAACTTGTGTGTTCTTCAGCATAGCTTTTATTAACCTCTTAAAGAAAATTTGCGAATTAATTAAATTTGATGTTTGTTTAGGAATTTGTTGAAATTCAAAGATAAAATTCCACTTGAATCCGGGAATCAGGTCCTTTTTGCTTAAAATATTTCCTAATAATTTCAAAGAACTTATGTGGCTACAACATTGAGGCTTATTCCACACACAACATTTGGAAACATAACAACTAACTCTATAAGAAATCGAAAACATTTGAAGAGCAACATCTTGTGATATTTGTTTGGAAACTTTGGCGAATAACGAAGTTAAGTTTTAGCATTATGTAGCAAACATTTTTGAGAAATATTTAGAAACTTTAGTGGCTACAACTTATGTAGAAGCTTTGCTTAGATAAAAACAGTTCACCAACATTTGTTGCGAAACAATGTTTCAAGCGGCAACACATAATTATATTTTAAGCAAGTTTTAGCGGAATTTTCTATGGTATTTGTAACACTTTGTAAAGCAAAATTAATTAAACAAATTGTTGACAAATACTGACACCAATGTCTAGCACATCTTAGACTTTCAAATTGTAATTGTTGTTTAATTAAACTATATATTTACTAAGCCCATATATGTAGTTATCAAAATAATAATTAAAATAATAATTACCAACGTGCTTGAAACATAAACCGTTTCCAGTTTTTATAAAAAAATTTAATGTTTAACTAGGTATACATATGTATGTATGTATAAACACTTATTCGTGTCGTTAGAATATTAAAACAACTTACCAAACAAATTTAAGTTTTGGCAAAAAATTCAACCATTTTGTGCAATTTTACCGGTAGAGGTGCTATTTTGATGTCACAGTTTTAATGCACAACGATTTTCTAACAGAAATGTTAAATTTTCAGCCGCTGCTCTAATAACATAACGGAATGTTGCCTTGTTACGCATTTCTGTTAGAAACCGATGCCCTGAACCTAGGTGGAAAAACACGGCGAGCTGCGGCACACACCCGGGTAGGTGGAAACACATCTGCGGCCAGAGATGATTTCAATGAAATAATAATTGAAGTTTAATTATCGATACTACCGTTTGTGAGCCCCATGTTTTCCCATCTTTAGGTCTCGCTCTTTCCTGTCGAAAACGCCGTTGAAGGCGTAGTGTTTTTTTGGTCCGCGAGAAAATCTCCAAACATCAAAAATGGTAGGTGCCCAAAGTCCGAAATATTGTAAGCTCATATCGCAGGGCGCCGCCCCGAAGCATCCTGTGCAGCTATTTAAAATGTCCGGTTCGTGAAAGTGGAGTCAAAAGGTGCGGACGTGACGGACAGTTACCTGTGCTTATACATATGTATGTATGTCCCGTACAAATAGTGCAGGCATGCATGTGTGTGTGCCTGGTGGTGAAATGCAAGACAAAGACTAGAAGTGACGTATGCAGTTTGCTATTGAAATTTCGCAAGAATGTAAGGCTGCAGGGTGAAAGTTGTGAAATGCCCAAGGGACGGCCACATCTAATTATAATTCGCGATGCTGCGGTCCGAGTGTATGAGTGAGTGAGTGATGTGATTTTCTGTAAATAGGCGACGCAAGTGGTTTTCTGTTCTTATCTAACCTCAAAGTCCGTGGCACGACCTCCGAGTATATGTGTGTGTCGACGCCATTTTTAATAAGCACACATCTGTACAAGCGGCCCGAACTCTCGATCTAATACATAACGATGCCCTATTTTCGCAGGTCAACTTCACCGTCGACGAAATCCGTGGCCTCATGGACAAGAAGCGGAACATCCGCAACATGTCCGTGATCGCCCACGTTGACCACGGCAAGTCCACCCTGACCGATTCGCTCGTGTCCAAGGCTGGTATCATTGCTGGAGCAAAGGCCGGAGAGACCCGTTTCACGGACACTCGCAAGGACGAGCAGGAGCGCTGCATCACCATCAAGTCGACGTAAGACAACCACGCCTTCGTTCGTCTTTGTCAACTATCTAATCCGCCGTTCTTTCCCATTCCAGTGCCATCTCCATGTACTTCGAGGTGGAGGAGAAGGATCTGGTGTTCATCACCCATCCCGACCAGCGCGAGAAGGAGTGCAAGGGTTTCTTGATCAACCTGATCGACTCCCCCGGTCACGTTGATTTCTCCTCGGAGGTGACCGCCGCTCTCCGTGTGACCGACGGTGCCCTCGTTGTTGTGGACTGCGTCTCCGGCGTGTGCGTCCAGACCGAGACCGTGCTGCGTCAGGCTATTGCCGAGCGCATCAAGCCCATCCTGTTCATGAACAAGATGGACCGCGCCCTGCTGGAGCTGCAGCTGGATGCTGAGGAACTCTACCAGACTTTCCAGCGCATCGTGGAGAACGTGAACGTCATCATCGCCACCTACAACGATGACGGAGGCCCAATGGGTGAAGTGCGCGTGGACCCCTCCAAGGGATCCGTTGGTTTCGGTTCCGGCCTGCACGGTTGGGCCTTCACCCTCAAGCAGTTCTCCGAGATGTACTCCGAGAAGTTCAAGATCGACGTGGTGAAGCTAATGAACCGGTGAGTGATCTCTGATTTTAAGTTTTAGCTAGGAGTCTATGCTTCTAGCACAACACGTGTGGCGCTGAGCGGGCGTCATCTTGGAGGTTTGCTCCCCAGGGGGTGAGCTTCTTTAGAGTCGCGCGTGGTGAAGGCGTCACAAGTGCTACAAAAATAGAAGCAGAGTAAACCGTAGGAAGCTGTTGAAACGCTGCCTCGGGACCGCTTTCCTAATGTCCTAACGAGTCATGCTAAGGCAGTCACCTCACACTATTTTTATTGTCCCTGAGATGTATTTATTATGGCATATAAGTAAATCCATTGCAAATAATTTAAAGCTTTAATAGATTTGTCAAATATTAAGTGCTTTAAAATACATCTTGTAGGAAAGGAGCAAATGACTTTGGTTGCATTATATAATCAATAAAGAATAATATTAATAATTATTGACAAAAGTGGAAATCAAAGATTAAACTTGCAAGATTATGATTGCGTTAAAAAGAAACGATAAGAAATACTCTTTAAGTTTGCTTTGAAGGTTAAGATAGGTTAGCTTTCTTCATTTGGAAAACCAGCACTTGAACCATTAAAACTAACCCAAAATGCCTTTTCTGCTTGTTCACAGTCTGTGGGGAGAGAACTTCTTCAACGCCAAGACCAAGAAATGGCAGAAGCAGAAGGAGGCCGACAACAAGCGTTCTTTCTGCATGTACATCCTGGATCCCATCTACAAGGTGTTCGATGCCATCATGAACTACAAGAAGGAGGAGATCGGTACTCTGCTCGAGAAGATCGGAGTGACCCTTAAGCACGAGGACAAGGACAAGGATGGCAAGGCTCTGCTGAAGACCGTGATGCGCACCTGGCTGCCCGCCGGTGAGGCTCTGCTTCAGATGATTGCCATCCACCTGCCGTCGCCGGTGGTTGCCCAGAAGTACCGTATGGAGATGCTGTACGAGGGTCCCCATGACGATGAGGCCGCCCTGGCCGTTAAGTCTTGCGACCCCGAGGGTCCTCTCATGATGTACATTTCCAAGATGGTGCCGACTTCCGACAAGGGTCGTTTCTATGCTTTCGGACGTGTGTTCGCCGGCAAGGTCGCCACCGGTCAGAAGTGCCGCATCATGGGCCCCAACTACACCCCTGGCAAGAAGGAGGATCTGTACGAGAAGGCCATCCAGCGTACCATCCTGATGATGGGTCGCTACGTCGAGGCCATCGAGGATGTGCCCTCTGGCAACATTTGCGGTCTGGTCGGTGTCGATCAGTTCTTGGTGAAGACCGGTACCATCACCACCTTCAAGGATGCCCACAACATGAAGGTATGTAGCGTAAAAGTTACAAACCATTTAAAATGATATTAACTTTTAACTGGTTCGTTTCTGACTTGATTTCTTACGAATTTCCTTCCCGATTGCAGGTCATGAAGTTCTCCGTGTCCCCTGTGGTGCGCGTTGCTGTGGAGCCCAAGAACCCCGCCGATCTGCCCAAGCTGGTGGAGGGTCTGAAGCGTCTGGCCAAGTCCGATCCTATGGTGCAGTGCATCATTGAGGAGTCTGGCGAGCACATCATTGCCGGTGCCGGTGAGCTGCATTTGGAGATCTGTCTGAAGGATCTGGAGGAGGACCACGCCTGCATCCCCCTGAAGAAGTCCGACCCCGTGGTGTCCTACCGTGAGACCGTGTCGGAGGAGTCCGACCAGATGTGTCTGTCCAAGTCTCCCAACAAGCACAACCGTCTGCTGATGAAGGCTTTGCCCATGCCCGACGGTCTGCCCGAGGACATCGACAACGGCGAAGTGAGCTCCAAGGACGAGTTCAAGGCCCGTGCCCGTTACCTGTCGGAGAAGTACGACTACGATGTCACCGAGGCCCGTAAGATCTGGTGCTTCGGCCCCGACGGAACCGGACCCAACTTCATCCTCGACTGCACCAAGTCTGTGCAGTACCTCAACGAAATCAAGGACTCCGTGGTCGCTGGTTTCCAGTGGGCCTCCAAGGAGGGTATCCTCGCCGACGAAAACTTGCGCGGTGTCCGTTTCAACATCTACGATGTGACGCTGCACGCTGATGCCATCCATCGTGGAGGTGGCCAGATCATTCCAACCACTCGTCGTTGCCTGTACGCCGCCGCCATCACCGCCAAGCCGCGTCTGATGGAGCCCGTCTACCTGTGCGAAATCCAGTGCCCCGAGGTTGCTGTTGGAGGCATCTACGGCGTGCTTAACAGGCGTCGTGGCCACGTGTTTGAGGAGAACCAGGTTGTAGGCACCCCCATGTTCGTGGTGAAGGCTTATCTGCCCGTCAACGAGTCGTTCGGTTTCACCGCCGATCTGCGTTCCAACACTGGCGGACAGGCCTTCCCTCAGTGCGTCTTCGATCACTGGCAGGTGCTGCCCGGCGACCCGAGCGAGCCCTCCAGCAAGCCCTACGCCATCGTCCAGGATACGCGCAAACGCAAGGGTCTCAAGGAAGGTCTGCCCGATCTGTCCCAGTACTTGGACAAATTGTAAGCCACCACCACTCACCACCCAATCCCCCACACAACAACATCCATGTGCAGCTGGCTGAGAGGGAGGAACATAGAACAAAGTGGAGCGACCGAAACGAACATCTAATTTCGGCAAGGCACCTAGAACAACGTCTGCGGCCGCTGTTAGTGTTTTAAATCAAATAAAAACACAAACCATTAAAGAAATTTTGATGATTATTAATTGTATAACAGAAAAACACAACAACATAATAAATCAAGTAAATGATTAAATGCTTAAGTTTCTATAAAAAAAAATTACTAAATGGTCGGACGAAAATAGTTTTCGTAGAATTTTTTATTCTATAATTGCTGCCTTTTTGTGTATGTTTTTTTTTTAGATCTCGATTGTTGGTTTATTTTCAACAAATCAATTAAAATTTATAACAAGCCGTTTGCTGAAAGGGAACCAAAATTACATTTTGGTATTAGAGTTTCAAACCGTCGGAGGTTTGAGACCTGGCTACACAATCACGACATTCATTTTAATGAAACATCGATAGCCCATTGTATATCCTGAAATATTGGGGACTCCCGAACCTTTATTTTGACTAACTATTTATTTTAAATCAAATATGTTTTTTGCCTCAAAAAAAGCCAATAAAACCTTAGAAGGGCAAATGTGATAAGCTTGAGATCATTATTGAAAATAACGTTAACCAGTGAAGTATTTTTTAATTTTAATGCATGACGTATTTTGTTTTAAACGGAAACCCAAACGACGTTAAAGATTTTGCGTTATCATGTCAAACCATAAAAACTAATGTTGAGTAATTTATCGTGGTTGATATTTGAAAAACAAAAATCATCCAACAACCGGTTTTCGGCAGTCCCACTGATTTTTGGTGGCGTGGGACGATATCGATACAATATGTTGATACATTTCTGACATCGCTAGATTTGCGAACGTTGCTCTGTCAGGTCATAAACAAAAGGTCGGTGCGTTCGCTCAGTCATTTTTTGTATTGTAGCGCAGAGTCGAAAAACGGTGAAGAACGCAAAGAAGGTTCGCCTGTGTGCAAACTCATAAGATAATTGCAAAATGCGAGTGTTCTCGGAAATTGCCCCGCATGTGTTTCTATCATAAGCCCAAACGGCCGTTACGGTTGCTTTTTATGTCGCCGCGGCGTCTGTCATTACAAATGACACCCCCTCGCTCTTTCCCTGTGGCTGTCTCTGTCGCTCCTTCGCCCCCGCTTGAGATGAATCTATTTTTAGCTGCGTTTCCAATTGGAAGACTTTTGATTTGACCTTTTGCTGTGCCGAAAGTTAAAGCTCTAACTGTAATTAGCAGGCAGAGCCGAAAAAGTCAGTTCATACGCGAGTGTGGGTGTATGTGTCTGCATATGAAAAAATCGATGCCAGACTCCCTGCAAAAACTTCATTCAGAAAGGAACGGAAAGGAAAGCGAGAGAAAGGAGAGTAGAAGAAGAAGAAGCCAAGCATCGACGCCGACAGCAGTAAATTTTACAGCTAGACAAAGTGGCCGTTTTTGCGTGTGTGGGTGGTTATAACGGTAACTGTAATCCATAGACAGTCGCCGATAATACCGGAAATGAATTTTGCCCGTATTAGAAACTTAAATATTGCAAACTTTTATTATTATCGCTGCACGCATCCGTTGGAATCATATTTTTCAGGCCAACCCAGTTGCAGTTGCAAAAAGTTTTTTGTTTAGCCCAAGGCAAAAAAACGTGTTTATATATAGCCTCACAAGGAGTGTGCGTGTGTGTGTGCATGTTTGTAGGGGGAGGTGGGCGATATCTCAAACTGTGTTGTGAATGCGCCTGACTCGAACTCATACTCATACTAAAACTCAAACTCCTCTCAGCGGGAACCTAAAGTGTATAGAAAATATGAATGAAGATAAGGCAGAGTGCGAATAGTGCGCTTCTACTCCCACACTCACCTCTCTCGCTTTGTTGTTGCTCCTCATACCCCCCACCCTGCCACTCACATTCCCCGAATTCTCTCTTCTAGATGAGATGCGAAAAATCAATGCACAAAAATCTCTTGTTGAACCGTTTTTAATTGCCCAGAGTGCGCGTGTGTTTACTTTTTTTTGTGTAAATCCGAAATTAATGTAAGCGATTTTTAAATCAGGACAAAGACAGACAACGGGTGAACTAAAATAGAAGGGAACAAAAAGTATGGCAAAAATCAAAAAAGTTTTATTGTACAGACACATTTTTACATGCCAAAAATGTGGTCATAGAACTGGAGTTAAAAATAAAACAAATTACAGGTATTGGGTTTCGGTCTTTATCATAATCGATAAAAACTTAAAAGTAAGGAGTAAATGTCAGCAGTCAGTTTTTTCTCTACACTTCTAATAACTTTTTAAATGCCCTTATTGGACTTTAAGTTAAATATACATCTTTAAGTGTAAACGCCAAAACCTATCAGGTAGATATAAAAACTAAAACAAAGTATTATTTTGCACAGGTCAAAACACAAATTCAATAACCAAAAATATGCATACATACATACATATACATAAGTCGCGACAAAATTATATATGACGTTATACCGCTACTTAAATCGGACAGAAGGCTTAACGTGGGACACGGCCATTTAGTATATGTATTATAAAACATATAGCGTGTTCAATGATTATGAGAACTTATCTGAAAACTGTATACACACATAACTTCCCTGCCATCGTGGGCTCCATTCCGAGACGGAGATCAACCTTGACAGGTTGCCTGCCTTGCATTAGCAAAAAGTTTATCCTGCCCAGTCAGTTTCAATTTCCGCTCACACGCTTTCGACCTAATCGGAAAATATCAATATCCACCGGCGGAACTTTCCCTGTTCGCATTCAAATCGCACGGCAGACTAATGGTCTCCTAATTGGAAATCACGCCAGCTAAATCAATATTCATTATTTATTAATAGCGACTTACGGCGGCTTTCGCACCGAAAACCTCTGACCCATCACTCCCCCATTTTTCCTTCTTTGCAGCCTCGACGTTCCGATGACGAATTTAATGACCTGAAATCAGAGAAGCAAGAGCAGCGAGGGAAGTCGTGGAAAACCGCCAATCACTTTCACACATTGCATAGATGAAAATTGAAACAGCCGACAACAAAGCAACGTCAGCAGCGACGCTGACTGAGGCAGCGACTTCGACGTCAGTGGGCGCTTTGATTACATTTTCATAATCGACGAAACATCCGAAATCCACAGAGCAGGTCTCCCGTCGATGGTTTCAATGAGAATCGCATAATGGCAGCGGCACCTGAATCGTGTGGAGCACGCGATTCCAACGAACCGGAGAGCGAGGGGGCGTTCGATCCGGAGGCGGGGCGGTCCCAGGTGGCGATGACGGACTCCCAGCCCGCATTGGATTCCCTGGAGGCGGAGACGGAGGCAGAGGCGGAGGCGGAGGCAGACCCAGATGCAGATGCTGCCGCGGCTGGAGCTGACCAACAAAAGCAAAAGTATGTCGCAACTTTTTGTTCAACGAAATTCAATTGTTAATCCCCAATAATAGTCCCCTGATGGAACACAGAGCAAGAATGGAGAATTGGTCATCTAAAGGGAACAAAGGGTCTTTCACCGAAATCTTTTAATATTTATTTAAATACACTTTCGAGAAATATATATACATATACGTGTCCAACTTCTGTACAATATTATGGTTCACAATTGGATATTTGTGAAGTACCAAATCAGTGCATTTCAAAAATAAATACAATACAACTTTAAAAGTTATTATGCTATGCTTAAAGAAAAAAATTATTTCCGATCCAGGGTAGTGTAGTTAAAATGTAGTATGTGTAGTAAAAATGTAGTAATGAGTATTTTCAATTTTGTGTTCTTTTGAAGCATCGATGAGCAACTGCAGCTTCAGTCGCTGGAGCCCATCTCCTTGGATGATATACCTGAGCCCATCAAAGTCCTCGACGAGATTATTTCGGAGTTCGAGGAGGCCGCAACCAAGCCAGTGGCCTTGCACAGCAGCAGTGGCGAAAATCAATCTGAGGACGATGGCTACATGAGCCTGAGTCGCAAAAAGTGAGTGTAAAATTAATATTTGATGATTGAAATTCCTACACTACTCGTCGGCATAATTTTTTAAATTTAATGGTTTTTTAAATTTGTTGCATATTTTTAACCTTTTATGTACAACTAATACATATAAACTTAAAAATTCGTAAACCAAATTTTTAAAGTGGAATTTAACAACTTATAAATGGTCCATATATGTAATTATGGCTACTAGGGTATATAAAATCATAAAAAAAAAGGCTTTTTCTGGTATAACTCATTATTTTTTTATTTTTAAAATCAGTATGTGTGTACTATATTATGTTATTAAATCCATAGAGGATCAAGTTTAAAATGAACATAGAAAAAACAAATCTAGTTCTTCTTTTGCCCAAATGAACAATTTTTATAAATTGTCCATGAACAGAATCTTTTCTTAAGTTAAAAGTTTGCAAACCGTAAATCAGTTAAACCATCTGTTTTTGCCACATGAAATGTTTAAGTTTCCAACCTGTCTTGCAATCAACCATGTGAGTCACCACAGTCCAATTACCACTCCACACCACCTCTGCTGCCACTGCTAACCAATTTTCAACTTTGACTTCGCAGCATGTCCAAAAAGGATTCCGAAGATGTGCCACAAACACCCAGTACCGACACCGTGCCCGAGGGAAGTTTCAACGAGGTGGATGGCACGGCTGAGAATCTAACCAAATTATCTGAGGTGGAGCACGGACAGGAAGCGACGACTCCTCTCATCCAGACAACGCTGGTGAGTTTGGGGACGCCCCGCTGCAAGCTCTCCAGCTAATGGGAAACCAATTAACTCACCGCACAACCACCTCTCTCATCCCGCTCCTGCAGCCAAAGGCCCGGGGTTCCAGCTCGACTCCGGCCACCAACTCGAACTACTCGAGTCTGCCGTGTTGCGGGGCTAGGGCATCGAATTTGGGCGGAGCTTCCGGTGGGAATTCCTCAAGTGGGCTGGCAGCCATTCGGCACCCGGGCAGCTGCAACGGTGGCCGCAACGCACTGGGCATCGACATCAGTGCCGTGCACAACGCTGTGCTCCGTGGCAACCTGGCCAAGCTGCCGGAGCCCTTCGTCAACGAACATCCGGTGACCATCTACCCGGGCCCATCCTCTAAGACGGCTGGCGGGGAGGGGGCCCGTGGCAAACGGCTGCTCAGCTCGGTGGAGAAGCACAAGGAGGTGTGCCACATGCTCAATCCGCATTCCAGTAGCTCGACCTCCTCGTCCGGTTCGCAGCACACGTCCAGCGGGGAGGCCTCGCCGGCTGCTTCCCACGTCAACGTGGCGACCTCGAAGTCGGCTGGCAGGGACGATGACTACTCGGAGGACTCGCTGGAGGAGTCCACCATCTCCACGGACCTCACGCCCGTCAAGCAAAACGGGGTCGCCTGGGAAATCCACTTCAAGAGCAACAAGAAGAAGTCCAACTCCAAAAAAACGTCGGGTGCTGCGTCCAAAAAGGTAACTTTACCGATCGGTGTTTCATTGAGAATTTGGACTTGAGCATTCTCCTACATCTCAACTTTGTTCTGCAGCAGCAACAGCGTGCCAACAACTTGGACGACTTCAACAACAGCTTCGTATACAACGAGCACAGCATGCTGGGCAAGGGAACCTTCATTATTCGCCGCTCCACTGCCAAGAAACCGCCGCGAGCTGCTGACGTCTTTTGTATACCAAAGCCGCCACGTCCCTCGTTGGCCGAGAGAGCAGGGTCCGCATCCAAAGTGGGAGCTGGCGCGATCAGCAATGAGTTCTACACGAGCGACAGCGAGCAGAGCGACGCCGCTCCACTGCCGCCGCCGCCGGCAGCCTCCGAGATGAACTTTGTTTACAAAGAATGCGAGGCCAATGCGGCGCATACACGCCGCGGACTGGAAATGGCTGCTGCACACCGGGCTGCCCTTTCGCTGGACATCGCCGAGGCTCCGGACCAACTGGGCCACTGCAAGCCGGTGAAGAGCAAGACCGCAATGCTAACCGAGAAGCGCCTGAGCGCCGAGTCCATGCCGGACAACACCTCCAGCAGCGAGGAGTTTGATGAGGCGCGTCTCAACGGTAACGGGAGCTACGAGCTGTACACCTACAACGGCAGCGGTAAGTGGTCCACGTACTGATGGTGCGACTATGCAGATAAAGAGTGCACCTCTTGACTATTCAGAATGTAAAAGAAAAACCCTTAATATCAACTCTTGTTTTCCTTGAATGTAGATCAACGAGTTTCAAACGCCACCACCCCACACACCGATCTGGCGCCAACTCTGGAGGAGGATGAGGAGCTGTCCGACTTTAGCTATGGGTGTGCTCCTCTCACGCAAATCGAGCACAACATTAGCGCTCTGTTGCGTGGAGAAATGCCCATCGTGGGTCAACCGGCTGGCTGCAATGGAGGCGGGTCCGCCGGAGCCGCTGCGACGGCTGCCGAGCTGCACGCCAAGCGGGTGCTGGAGTTCAGGCCAGGCGTTCACAAGTCCGAGAGTGCCAAGGAGATGCTGCTGTCGCAGATGCCCGGCCTGGGCCCTCTCCCACCGTCGCCGCCGAGCTCCAATCCGGATTTGTTTGACTACGATGCCCCACTGCCGCCATCGCCAGTGGAGCCGCGCAAACAGCTAGAGCTTCCCGCAGTGGCGTCGACCGGTGCCCCGCCACCGAACCGCGGCACCACCGTGGTGGAGGTGCATGCCACCGCCTCCGGAGCAGCGGTGCACAGCAGCAACAGCCACACGCGCCGGAGTCGCGACAATGTCGCCGCCGTGCGCCACTTCACCGACGAGCTGCCGCCTCCACCGGCGCCTGCCCACCAGTCGGCCAGCTTCGTGGAGGGCCTGCCCGGGCCGCCCATGGTGCCCCCGCATCGAGCCACTGGAGGCCATTCGGCCAACACCATGAAGTCTTGGAGCATCGACTCGCAGTACCGGAAGAGGTCGCCCAAGCTATTTGGCCACTACAGCAGCGGGGGCAGTGGGATCACCACTCCCACCGGTCTGGGCCCGATGCCCCCGCTGCCGCCACCCCCTCTCGATGGAATGGCGGGCGGGTCTGGGTCCTATCAACGGCGGTATATTAATTATGGCACCAAGCGCAGCCTGAAGCAGTCCCCGCGCGAGGAGCACCGCCTGCAAACCTCATGTAGTCTTCCTGAAACGCCAATCTTTGCCAGAGGGTGAGTTCTAACCTACGGGAAAGTTACCCACTAATAATTATCAATTCTCTGCAGCTGTGACATACCACGTACGCCATATCGACGCCAAAACGAGCCACTGCCGGTGGTCAGCGGGTCGCGCACCGCGCCCAGATCTAGCACATCGAACAGCATTAACATGGGCACTTCCATTTTGGGGATTGGAGGTAAGTCACTTTTAGGTTTCGGGGAAGACTGCTTGGAACACAAAAGGGCTTAATAATTTATCCAGGGATTTCCGGGTAGTTTCGGTTGTATATCCATAGCATCACTAGGCCGCGGGTCAATATACCCATGATTTCTCATGATTTGTACGAGGAACAAGTTTAAAAAGAACTTAGATTGATCTTTTATATTCTGTACAAGACAATTCTATCTCCTTGTTTTAAATGTAATATCGGAAACTATAAAATAACTTCATGTAGTCAAAGCTCCTTTCTACACATTTAAAAGCCAGTCTATCTCCGAATTCTCAGATTCTCGGTATTATTTTCATTTGGAAATGAGTAGCATTTCGGGTCACCGGAAAAGCTCATTAGTAATCTGCCTAGTTAAAATAAATCTGTAATATTAATTTTGTTATTATTCTTATTAGCCGGCAACTATGGTACGGCTCAAATTTGCCGTCAGCGCTCCATTAATCATGCGTTGGCCTCCAACGAGATGCTTCGTATGACGGGTGCACCGGCTCGCGGCTGGTATCCCAAGCAACGAGGCATGCGTCCGGTCTCCACCGAGAACATCGACCGCCTGGCGTCCGTGCGAGTGTGGGACAATCCGGCGGGCATGTCCGGAACCGGACAGTCCCGCAAGCCACTTACGCTGCCACCAAATCTTACGCCTTCCTTTTTAAACAAATCTCCTCGTGAGGCCCTGCGGCGAGTGACCAGTTTGCTGATAACCAAAAAGAGTAAGTTGGTGTGCAGCAATCGGATCTTGTAATAAATTGACTATTCTATTCCCAACAGAGAACAGCAAGGATCGAAAACATAAGGCATATTGCGATCAACTCATGGATGATAGCAACAGCAAGCACGCCTATGAATTCGAGACCGGTAAAAAAAGATACATTTCTTATTACTTATCAATGGAGATAATTGCTTATTAAATACCTTTTTTTCAGGCTCTACCAAGCGGAAAGATACCAATCGCAAGGATAACGGTGCCTCGGCAGCAGCCACCAATTCCAAACCCAAAAAGAAGGGCCTATTCAAATCCCTTTGGAAACGCACGAAAACCGCCTCGTTGGATCAGTAGAGAGTTCTCGCCGGCAAGCCTAAGCACTGCCCCAAATTTCATGTACACCGTAAGCGTATAATAGCATCGAAGATGATAATAGACCTGCACTTACACTCACGATTTTCGGGTCGCAAGTTGAGAGTTAACCTTTGCACCCACCCACCCACTCATCTGCTCATCCGATCAGCAAATCTTTCTCACGCTCGTGTTCGTTCACCTTGAAGACAATTGAAGCAATTTTATATACACATCGCATCGTATATTGGTCATAAAGTAATGAAAAACTGAATAATTCAAATGCACAAAAGCCGTGAATCGTAAAGACTGAAAATGAAAAAAGCGTAAAACAAAGAAAATTTAACCGAAATCGAAAATGTTATGAACGACAATGAAATTAACTGGACACATGCAAACAATATTCCACTCTCGCAAAAAAAAAAAAAACAATGCAGTTGTATGGATCGCACGGCAATATTATAATGTTCTTGTGTGTGAGCGGTCTCCCCCGACCTTGAATTTGCCAAACGAAAATAATGCAATTATTCCAAGGCCGTACAGCCAAAACCTAACCGAATGCACGCAACATTGAGCGCAGAAAGAAATTTACAACTTTTACAAGCACTGAATTTATATATACGTATATAGATATGAGCGCTATATATATAGTTTGGACTATAACTGAACCGTTTAGGGTTCTAGGCAACATTACTTACTTTATGATGATGTTTAATTCTTAAAGCACTTTTTGTGTAGCTGAGATCTAGGTTTGGGTTATTGGACAATTTATTTTCTATTTTTTGGAGTACGTCAAGGGACTTAGAGCCGCTGGATTATGGGCATAGTGCAATTTGAGAGGAGGTATAGTTAATTAAAACATATATCTCAGGTCTCTTTTAGCGAATATCCGTTGCGTTGCCCCTCCAGTCATCCCCAGATAACTCAATTTAAAACTAGTCGCAGTAATAAACAAGAATCTAAACTCTCTAATAATGTATTACATTTTCAAAAACTGAAAAAGAATGAAGTTAAGCCCTCCACATTTCAAAGAATGTTTGATAATAAAACGAATTCGAAATTGATAACAAATCAATATTATCTTACAATGCATAATGAATGCTCAAGACAATTTTACCAGAGAGCATTTCTCAAATTTTGAGCGCTAAAATAGTTGGAAGTCGAAGGAAAACTGCAATGTAAAACAACAAAACTGTAAACGTTTACTAGTCATTAAATATAAAAAACAACAGAAAAAATTATATATATGAAAGATAACATATTTTTTATTAACACTCACTGAGGCGCCAAGAATAACAAATTTGGCAGCGTTTTATGAGCAGGAGCTGGCCCCCAAGAACAAGTTGAAAGTATTATTAACGAATTATATTATATGCTATAGCAAGTTGGTATTTATTATAATTAATGATATATGTACAATTATTTGAATTAACATTATTGAATATATTTTTTAGAAAAGTAGCATGAAACAAAATAAAATTTAAAAAAACCAATAATCCATGGCCCTTGTATACTTTTCAGATAGATATCAATTTAAAATTGGATCCTTTGGTATAGGCGAAACTTAAATGGTTATTGAACACAAAATTATAAAATATTAAAATCCACATTTTAGGAGTACTGGGAATAAAAACTAAATAAAAAGATAACTTTTAACATTCGAGAACTGGATATAATTATTTCTTTTTCAAGTAAACTGCCAATAACATAATATTTACTCAATTATAATATATATTTTCAATAATCTTTAAACAGACACTCACACATACTGGAAAGGTATTTAACTGAAAAAATGTTATGTATTTCTGTGAAAGTCCTGGGATACCATTTAGACATTATCCAATTCATATGACAAATTACAATAAAAAAAACGAACAAATGATCTAAAAAAGTTACACCATTAGCATACAGACACAGACGGCAAAAAAAAATATTATATATAATTTTTTAGCAAGAAAAAGCAAATTTTTAATATAAAAATTAAACAATTGTATATGAGGGTAAACCAAATGGAATAAAAAGAAGAATATTGAAATAATTTTGAAAAATATTTTTCTTGTGTTTTAATGAAACGGTACACAATATTATCCAAAGCGCAGTACCAGTCCAAACCTCATTGAGTAAAGACGTGCTATCGGCAGAACTTCGCGAGTACCATCAGTTACAAAAACAAAGTTCTACCAATTTTGGCAAAAACAAACAAGTGCGTAAAGAAGATTTCAAAAAAACCCAAGAACAACTATCACAGCAAAACCGCTACAAAAGTGCTCTGTGCAACGGGCGACAGCCCAAGCACAATAACAATGAATCGACCACCTGATCTAGATTACCCTGCACTGGGTAATAAAACAACAACTCTTGACCCGAAGTTCCTCATAATCTCCAGAACAGATAACGAGACTTTTGAAAAAGTTTCGATATTCATAATAAAAAGAGTTATTGAATTCACCTGCGGCGGAGAAATTGAAACATGCACTAAAACCAGAAACGGAACCCTATTAGTTAAAACCAAAAGTTCAGCACAGGCAGTAAAACTGCTAAAACTCTCCAATTTCCACAACTTCACTGTAAAAGTCACTATACATGAAATTTTAAACTCCTCGAAAGGAGTAATATACTCAAATGAACTACGGCATGTAGACGAAGCTGATATATTAAACGAGCTTAAGCTTCAAAGGGTCAACAATGTTGAAAAAATCTTCATCAAAAAGAACAACATTCTCCAAGAGTCTGGACTCGTAATTGTCACCTTCTCTTCAACGTTTCTCCCGGATACCATAATGATAGGATGGGAAAGAATAAGAGTTCGTCCACATATTCCACGCCCATTAAAATGCCGCAACTGCCTCAGGTTTGGACACCCCACGAAAGCCTGCAGGACCCCCACCAAAGCCTGCAGCAACTGCTCAGGAGAAGTACACACGCCAGACGACACTGAATGCGACAAACCCAAGTTTTGCATAAACTGCAAAAACGACATTAACAACGAATACAACCACAGTCCCCTAGATAAAACATGCCCAGCCTTCATTAAACAAAAAGAAATAATAACAATTAAAACACTACAAAAAGTCGACTACAAAACCGCCACAAAAATCTATCACACGCGCCACACCCACCAATCTACCCCGTACTCCAAGATAGCATCCTCCGAAAAACCTACAATCACAGAAAACCAAGCTCCAAAGACTGCCAGCACCGAAGGCACCAACACTAACACCAACCGTGAAATAAGGAACTACAACGACATTATCAATCCACTACCCAGCACTTCGTCCAAACTCATCAAGCAAACAACAAACCCCGGCATCGAACATATGGATACTGAAACCTCCGCAGAAGTCACCGCTACCCGCTCTAAAAATACAACCCTTGAATCCGATCGTAAGCTTAGAAGCCAAACTAAAGATAAATCAAATGTAATTTCCAAACCCTCCCTCAAGGCTAAAGACAAATCTGACAAATCTAAGCCCATAAACACATCAAAATTAGCAAACGAATTAAGCAAATTAGCCAATCGCAATAGCTCTGAAGAAGAGCTTTAAATAGTTTTCTTTTTTAGTTTATTATTGTTATTGAACTTTAAAAACTAATCGCTCAAACTAGTACTAAGTAATACTCCTTCCCCTTACATTATAATGCTTAAAATTATTCAATGGAACATCCATGGATATAGAAATAACTACATCGAACTCCAATCCCTGATCAAGACCTTTAACCCCCTAATCCTTGCCCTACAAGAAACACACATAACCAACTTTAACTCTCTACCCATTCCCATTAACTACACACTCTACCAACAATGCTGCACCAACTCTTACGGGGGCGCAGCACTCCTGATACATAACTCAATATCTCAAAGACAAATCTCAATCACCCAAGACTTCGAAGCAACTGGAGTCTCAATAGACACTAAACTTAAACTAAACATAATATCAGCCTACATTTCACCAACCAAGCCCTTTAACAGAAATAACTTAGAAAACGTCCTCTGTTTCGACAACACTCCCACGTTAGTCCTCGGAGACTTTAACAGCTGGCACCCCTACTGGGGCTCACCTAGCCCTAATGCCAGAGGCAATATTATTGCCAAATTCCTAGACCGTTCAGATTACATCTTATTAAACGACAAAAGTCCCACCCACTTCTCCACACACAACTCTTTCACACATATAGACTTATCCTTTTCTTCATCCAATATAGCCCCAGAATTTCTCTGGGAAACAATAGACGACCTCTACGGTAGTGATCACCTCCCTATTTTAATCTCAATGAACCTTAATACCTCCCCCTCATCCTACACCTCCAAACCCTCCTTTAACCTAAAAAAAGCAAACTGGGAAGCATACAAAAAATCTTTTCGATACAATTCTACTGACAAGCCTCCAAGCGAAAATGTCAATAAAGAAGCAGCTATGTTAAGAAAAATTATTATCCAAAGCGCGCACCAATCTATCCCCCAGAACACTACTTTTCAATTTCCTAGAACAGTCCCTTGGTGGAATCAAAACTTATCAATTTTGAAGAAAGCCAAAGCGTCTAAGTGGTCTATATTAAAGCGCAACATTACTACTTATAATACAATTGAATACAAAAAAGCCAACGCGAAACTAAAAAAAGCAGTTAGAGAAGCCAAACGCATCTCTACTTTCAATTTCACTTCTGATATTAGCCCCTTCTCATCTCCAGCTAGAACATGGTCCAACATCAGGCGGCTTTGCGGTTTTTACCCCTCAAAGCATATACATTGCATTAACGACCCTTCCTTCCCCACCCCCAGAACATCCCAAAGCGAAATTGCTAACTCCTTTGGACTTGCCTGGTCCAAAGAAGGCGACGACAGTAACTTTTCTCCAACTTTTCGCACTAACAAATCTCTCTTAAACCCCACCATAGACTACCAACCCTCCAATTCTGCACTCGAAATAGAAAAGGACATTTCATTCATTGAATTCAGCAGCGCACTCAACTCCCTGAAAGGCAAAACTCCAGGCTTAGATCGCATCTCTTACATTATGATCAACAACTCCCCTATATCATTCAAACATAGAGTCCTTAACCACTTTAACTCAATCCTAGATTCCTCAATCCCCCAAGCCTACAAACATAGCCTAGTACTTCCTATTCTAAAACCCCAAAAACTTAAAACAGACCTAAAATCGTACCGTCCTATATCCCTAAACTCATGCCTCGCCAAAACACTTGATAAAATTATCGCCAAGAGACTGTGGTGGTTTGTTTTAAATAACAATCTAATCAACAGCCATCAGATTGGATTTAGAAGGGGAAGATCTGTCATAGACAGTCTACTTTTAGTAGACCACATAGCAACTAGATCCCTCTCCCTCAAGAAACACATCACATTGATCTCTCTTGATTTCAACAAGGCATTTGATAAAATTGGCATACACTCCGTAATTAACCAGCTGAAGGAATGGAAAATTGGCAAACGCATATTAAATTACGTCCTTAACTTTATGACAAACAGAAAGATAATTATTAAATCCGGCAACAACCTTTCAAACATTTTCCCACTCAATAATGGCATCCCCCAGGGGTCTCCAATCTCAGTAATTCTCTTTCTTATAGCTTACAACGCACTCTCCAATATTATCTCCGTACACAAAGAAATAAAACTAACAGCTTACGCCGATGACTTCCATCTTATAATCGAACACAATAAACAAAAAAACCCCACTTCCAACCTTCAAACCCTGTTTTCTCAAATAGACGACTGGTGTACTTACTCAGGATCAATCCTATCGAAAGAAAAATGCCAAGTTCTTCATATATGCAGAAAACATAACTGTTCTGCCAATATACTTACAGGCGACACAAAATTTCCCAATACCAACTCCCTCAGAATACTAGGTCTTACTATTAACAACAAATACACCTGGTCCAACCATATTTCAAAATTAAAAACAGAACTATTAAAACCTTTAAATATCATCAAACATCTCTCTTCCCTTAAATATAACTGTAACACATCCACTCTTATCAATACTATTAAATCTATCCTTATTTCAAAAATCGATTTTTGCCTGCCTATTTACGGGTATTCTCCCAAATCTAAATTAAACTGCTTAAAAACAATAATAAATGCAGCTCTAAGATCAGCCATGGGAGCCTATCGAACCACTCCAGTAAACAACTTACTACTAGAATCTAAAACAAACACAATAGAACAAAAACGAAACTTCCTTACAGCCAAATTAAGTAAAAATATCCTTTTCGCCCACGACACCCATATAACTAAACTAATAAAGCCACACAAAAGAATATACAAATACCCTAGTACCATAGACAGAATAATCAAAACATGCAACCATCTATCTCTTCCCGTTTCTCCTATCCGAACCAGTAAATGTAATAAATTTAATATGCCAACCATACATAAAGCTATAGATACTATTCTGTCATCTCATAATAAACAAAATACCCCTGCAACAACCTACCAACAACTTTTCAGGTCCTTACAATCCTCATACCCACAACACAATTTTGTATATACTGACGGTTCTAAGGCTGATGGTATATCTGGATTCAGTATTACCGATGAAAATAACCTTTTAAAATCCGGTCTACTTCCAATGTACTCTTCCTCCTACACGAGCGAGATCATTGCCATCCTAGAAGCCACAAAACTTTGTCAAAGAAAGTCTGGAAAACACGCAATCTGCACTGACTCCCTCTCCTCCCTTAACTCGATTAAAAACCACAATAAACACTCCTACTATATAACATCAATAAGAAACATCCTAACCAAAAACTTCCCAAAAATAAGCCTTATTTGGATTCCTAGCCACATAGGAATAAAAGGTAACGAAACTGCTGACTCATTTGCCAAACTTACCCTTCAATCCCCCCTTATATACACCCCTAACTACAACTTTACTGACATTGCTCGCCTCCTTAAACAATGCTCAGACAATGAACTGATAGACACCTTGGAAACAGCCTCTCCTTGGTACAAACTTATAAAACCCCCAACATTCCCACACAAATACGAAATGAATAGAAGACACCAAATTATCA